TCAGCAAGTGTGAAAACTACAGAGGCATCACTCTTCTTTCAATACCAGGCAAAGTCTTCAACAGAGTATTGTTAAACAGAATGAAGGACTTCGTAGACGCCCAACTTCGAGATCAACAGGCTGGATTTCGTAAGGATCGATCGTGTACTGACCAAATTGCTACATTACGGATCATTGTGGAACAATCAATTGAATGGAACTCACCACTCTATATCAACTTCATCGACTACGAGAAAGCATTCGATAGCGTGGATAGGAAAACACTGTGGAGGCTTCTTCGACACTACGGTGTGCCTGAGAAAATAGTCAACATCATACGGAATTCTTATGATGGATTCAACTGCAAAATCGTACACGGAGGTCAGCTGACAGACTCTTTTGAGGTGAAGACCGGTGTCAGGCAAGGTTGCTTACTCTCACCCTTTCTCTTTCTCCTGGTCATCGACTGGATTATGAAGACGTCAACATCTGGAGGGAAGCACGGTATCAACTGGACAGTTAGGACGCAGCTGGACGATCTGGACTTCGCAGATGACCTGGCTCTTCTATCGCACACTCAACAACAAATGCAAGAGAAGACGACCAGTGTAGCAGCAGCCTCTGCAGCAGTAGGTCTCAACATACATAAAGGAAAAAGCAAAATTCTCCGATGCAACACAACATGCACCAACCGAATCACGCTTGATGGAGATACCTTGGAGGACGTTAACACCTTTACATATCTAGGCAGCATCATCGACGAGAAAGGTGGATCGGACGCAGATGTGAGGGCGCGGATTGGCAAAGCAAGGGCTGCATTTCTACAGTTGAAAAATATCTGGAACTCCAAACAACTTTCAAACAAAACCAAAATCAGGATCTTCAATACAAATGTCAAGACAGTTCTACTGTATGGAGCGGAAACATGGAGAACTACCAAAGCCATCATCCAGAAGATACAAGTGTTTATTAACAGTTGTCTACGCAAAATACTTCGTATTCGTTGGCCAGACACCATCAGCAACAACGAACTGTGGGAGAGAACAAGTCAGATTCCAATGGAGGAGGAAATCAGGAAGAAGCGGTGGAAATGGATAGGACACACTCTACGAAAAGCACCTAATTGCGTCACTAGACAAGCCCTCACATGGAACCCTCAAGGCAAAAGGAAAAGAGGAAGGCCAAAGAATACATTACGCCGTGAAATAGAGGAAGATATGAGAGGAATGAACAAACATTGGACAGAACTGGAGAGGGAAGCCCAGGACAGAGTTGGTTGGAGAAAACTGGTGGGCGGCCTATGCTCCATTGGGGGTAACAGGCGAAAGTAAGTAAGTAAGTAATGTGGATGCAGTTGAAATTCATTAGATGTCCGTGAATTTCCTCACATAGCTAAATAACCAGTGAGCACATGATAATTTTCATTAGAGGGTTGTGGTGTAAGGCAGCCAGCAAAGACAATGGATGAAGTAGCACACTATCGTGGATTGACTAAAGTTAGACATTAACATTGCTAGTTGCTGACTTGGTAGTTTAGATATTAAGTGTTTTGGTAGGATAACAAAGGTCTTGGGTTCAACTGCTGCCTTTGGAGGTCGTGGATGTGTACTGCGGATGAGTCCCATATTTGGAGATGAAGTATCCGTCCAGGGATTCCCGGTTTCTTTCTAATGGTGGTCTAAGATTGATTGATTCGTGATTTCAATGAAGTAAAAACATACATGATTCAGTTTATTTTACTGTACTTTCTTGAAGGACAGATAACAAAATCATCATCCAATAAGCAATGATTACAGCTAAACTTATCTACACCCATAGTTTCAAATGTAAAAGAAAAGACCGGTTCATTGTATTTTGATTATTCACTGATGCATAATAAATTAACGTCAATCGATGATGCGAAACTCACCGTCTAGTCTAAATATATGTATCAAACAATGTATCTGACCATATCATTACAATAACTATCAGCTAATCTTTTACTTAGAGTAGTCAGAATAGTTCATCATAATTTATCATTATTTTCATCAATAAACAAAGAAAACTTGTAAATCTTTATCAATAAATCATTTAAATCAAGCATAAAACACCTATTTTTGTGAAAATATCTCAGTATTTTTTTAAAAAAATTCATTCACTTACTATTTTTTCGTTGAACAATTTTCTAAATGATTTTTTTCTTTTTAACGCTCTTGTTAGTTTGTTTTCAATCTATTCTGTGTATACTTACTGTCTCTGATTAACTTGTTAACGGTTAGTTACAACGTCTTAAATGTTTACATACATATGTGTAGTATACACATACATACATACATACATTGGGAGATGAGATGAAATACAGATGAGTAAAGAATTAGTTTCAACTAGTTATGCTGGTATTAGGATACCCTTAGAATGATTTTTTTTTCTCTTTATCTTGACAAGAGTAAGAAAAACAGGAGAAAACAGTAGAAGAAGAAGAAGAAAGAAGGTGAAGGAGAGGACGAAAAACAACATTCCTTGTTGATGATGATGATGATGATGATAATGATGAATGGTTACATTAACATGTACATGTGTTTGTTAATTATTTTTCTCAATTTAGCGTAGGAAGTTGAAGGAAAGAAAATTTTTAATGGTTGTCATACTATTCATTTACTTATAACAACAAGGTCATCTAGGTTAATTTATTTAATAAGAAGAGGATGGCGGCAACAGGATAACAGACAGGAAATCTCCAGGCTGATCATCATAATTAATAAGAAACATACATTCCAGACACGTGTTTTTTTTTCTTCATCTCTAATCACAAGGTCAATATCTTTAACCTGTATATTCTGATTTTTCCGTGATTGATTCTATTTTGCTTTGAATTTTTAACAAGACTTATTGTTTCCTTGATTTTATAATGATTCTATTGTTACTTGTTGTTTAGATGTTATTCTATAAACATATGTAAATAAATATTTATGCATATTATTCATTTATATTGTTAGAATAATAAGTTGTATTTATGAGTGTTTCATCTGTGACTTATGTCAAGATGTGCCTGAAATTCTTATTGTATTAAGTTTTAACTATTTGAGTTCAGATATATCGGGACTGAACTAGTTGTAATCCATGGCACTGAAGATTTTTGGGATTATTTCACCCAGTGGGTTAATTGTTCCTCAATGCATTTCTAGGTCACTTATTAATAGTTTAGTGGAATATGCGCTGCTGAGAATAAGACAACTGTTCAGTTCGCCTTCGTTTTCATTGATGCTCCAAATGAGAACAGTTTATGATGAACATTAACTTAAAATTAGACCAATCTTTACAAAATTCCTCCAACTAGATTATCGAATGATACAGTTTAGCACGCTCTCCTTTGTACTTTTTTCTAAAACACAACAAAGTCAACCTTTTCTCAAGTGCATTTTCTTCGTAATAACAATCTTTGTCTACATATATATATATATATATATATATATATATATATATATATATATATATATGTCGAATGTCTAGTTTTTTTTTAAATGAATATATCAAATAAATCTTCCGTAAACAATTAGATATCCAGATGTTAGTCAATTTGCACTAGCAAATTCGGAAAATTCTTGGACGATCAATCATTCACAAGCGATGTAGAACCTGACATGATCGATAATACCTCTTCTTTAAACAAAATTTGAAATTTATTTATTGAGAAACTATGACAGACAATGAATACAATATCTTAAAATCCAATAACACGATATTCATTTATGTATTGAACATTGAAATATGAAATTTACAACCATGAAAGTAAAAACATTCGCCAGTTATTGTTATGTTACACATTTTTGAAACCATGAATCGATCAATCTTAGACCACCATTACAAACCTGGAGGCACTGGACGACCGTTTCGTCCTGGTATGGGACTCCTCAACAGTGCAAATCCACGACTCCTACACCCCCTCAGGCGCGAACGCCCTAACCGTTAGACCACTGAGCCGGTATCTAACGGTGTTAATGTCCAACTTGATCAAACTCACGGAGTTGTGCAATCTCATACACAGTCTTCGGTAGACACTGCCTACACCCGAATAGGTTGAACTTCACTGGTCAGGTCTTCCTGCGGGATGCAAGAGTCGTGGATAGGCACTGCTGAGGAGTCCCATACCAGGACGAAACGGCTGTCTTTCAGTGCCTCCAGGTTTCTAATGGTGGTCTAACATTGATCGATTCATAGTCTCAAAAATGTGTAATTATTGTGATCATTCCTACTTTCCAATTGATTTACATGAAATGAATAAGTTTCAATATTATTTTTTTGTCTTAATAACTAAGAGTAATTTCGAAAACCATCTAATTTTCAACTTTTAAATTAAATAACAATTTATACATATTTTTTTTATAAAAAATTGATTTTATTTTTATGGGAAAATAATAAACAACATAACAAATCAATGAAAATTATTTACAGAATTTTTTGTTCGCCTTATAAAACAATTGAAATTATTATACAATTTACTATCTCTTTTTTAAAGATAATATAAACAACAGTACAATAAATGCTATTTTACAATGTTTCATACCAGGATAAGTGGAAATAATCAACAATATACACATCTATTATTAATTTCTATATATATATATATTTTTTTTTTTGAGTGAAAAAAAAGTAAGAAATAAACGTAATATTAGTTATTTTTACACATGGTACTTTTTTGCTTCGGTCACCTGTTCAGCATTAACAAAATCACTTGGTTATCGGAAAACCCCTAAGTGAACAGAATAATTCGATAATTTTATGAAACATGAGAAGAAAAAGTAAACGAAAACAAATGAAATAAATTAAATGAAATCAGGGGGAAAAAATAATATTTTATGTGAACAGTAATATTGTGCATTAAACTTGTTCAGTGAATGTTCAGTGAATATGATACAATGATTGATTGAATGTTGAAGAGAAAGAAGATACTGTTTTAAAAAAATCTACAATTGATGATATGTACAATAGAAATGAAAAATTATACAGATGTATATATATATAATTGAATATGTTCTTGTTTTGTTGTCTCTTTACAAATATATCATTTGTTTTTCCAATTTCGATGTTTTTCCTGTTGAATTATTATTGTAAATTGCTGATACAGGAGAACGAATCATGTTTACTACGCCTTGATTACGTAGAGCAGTATGTGTAGGTGTTCGACGTACTCGGAAATCAAGTGTTGGACCGTGTAATGCCTAGTTAAGAAAAAAAAAGACATTGAAAATATATATGGGTAATTAATAGAGTTTTGAGTTTATTTTATTATTACACTGATTATGTCAGTCATAATCAACATACAGCCTAGAACAACATCAACACACTACCGGGTGAAACTAATAAATGCCAAAAGTGATTGAAATCATCAATCAATCATTGTTAGACCACCATTAGAAACCTGGAAGCACTAGACGGCCGTTTCGTCCTGCCCCAAAATATCGTAACAGTGCTCACTAGTGACTACTAGCTTCGTGAGGAAATTCTCGGAGTTCTAGTTGAGAAGACGTGACCAATGGAATTCAATCCAGTCGCGTGTAGGCAGTAACTACCAAAGACAAATGGATGAGGTCGCGCAAAATCCCTAGATCAGTCTGAGTTAGACATTAACACCGTAGGATGCCCACCCAGTGGTGCAGAGGTTAGGCGTTCGCTCCGGGTTCAAATCCTGCGAGTTTCAGGAGTCGCGGATGCGCACTGCTGATGAGTCCCATACCAGGACGAAACGGCAGTCCAGTGCTTCCAGGTTTCTAACGGTGGTCTAACAATGATTGATTGATGATTTCAAATGTGTAAAAACACAAACCTCCAAAACCCTGCCTGGAAAAGTGATTGAGCTAATTTTAGTAGGACTGATTAAGAAAAAGACTAAATTTTGAAAATATCATTTGAAATGCCAGAATGAAAAAGTATGAATCAATGAATATTCAAACTTAAACTGGTCACAACAAATAAACAGATCCTAACCAGATAGTCTGGATCTATAAATGGGGCTTAGACTAATAGTTCATGGACTTAATACCACCTTTTTGTTTGGCCTACTTTAACCATCATCTTATGTAGATATATGAATTTAGTTTTTGTTTATAGAGTTCTGATCAACTTTACTCATAAATAAAATTCTTTTGATTTTGTTGAATATTATTTCTTCAATCAACTTAGGAAACCTTGCAAGAAGTGATAAATCTTCATTAGTTAGTGTTTCTAATGACAATCACTGAAATATGCTTGAAAATCATAAAAATTACAAGACCTGTATTATTCCCGCGGAATTTAAATAACCCTATACTAATCTAGACCTATAGATACATAGAATATTGTGAGATATGAAATTATTACCTTACTATATTAAACAACTGAAATTACACAAAATAACCCACAAATATCATCTTTAAAAATTGACTTACATTTTTAACTAATGGAGTGACACAATCTTTAGAATGACCAGAACTTGGAGAATGAGCACGTGGTCGTTTAGCTAAGAATGCAGCTGTCAAATTAACCTATAGTAAGTAAAAAAAAGTGTAAATAATTGTTATTTTGTAGACAAAAAGCACAATGAAATTTGTACAAACGTGATAAATTCGTGTTAGTCATAACAATAACAATCAAGCTAATACAACAAATTCTTCTAATTTTACAATTATATTTATCTCTTATCTCCTAATGTCAGTGTATAAATATATAATTCTGATGATGGCTATTACAAGCATGACAGATCTTCCGATAATTCAACTAACCTATTGTGTCAGTGATTAAAAATAAAGAGGATTCAATTTTCAACGAGATTATTTACTCAAATTGTACATCCTTATTGTTTGAATAGAGTGAAATTGATGACGTCATAAAGTGAATGATCTTTATGGCTTTATCTTCCATTCAATTGTGTATAAAAAGCAATATCATAAAAATATCTGGATGCTACAAATTGTACTGAACTCATTCGAAATCAGTAACATTCACATTGATATTTGACGATAAATACATTTTAAGAACAAGACCTTATTAAGTACTGGTAAACTGTTATTGAATTAAAATTCATTATTTACTCTATGAAAAGTAGATTAACTGACAATTGAATACTTTTGTTGATTGCCTATATTGTATAAATCTTATCGATTGCTAATGTTACATAATAATAGTCTGAGAAATAATTAAACCAATAAAACAACAATACAATCTACTTACTATAGGATTATTTGATTTTGTACTAATTGTTGATGTATCCGATGTTGTTAACAATGATTCATTGGATTTTTTGCCTCGTGAACGTGGACTTGGTGTCATAGTAACACAATACTTAAGACTACAACACAATGCAGGACTGTCTGATGTCTAAATTAAACAGAGAAAGAAAACAAAAAGATGAATGAAAGTTACGATTGATTACGTAATGTATGAAATAAAATTAAGTAAATTATTACTAGCTATTTTAAACAAAAAGTATTTTTTTTTATAATGATTGAATGAATGAATTGACAATCTCTAACTTAGCAACTGCGGCATCAAACGCAACAAATTAAAACAACTATCTTAATAATATTTCTGTTTTACAATTAATGATTTGTAGAATTAAGCTGTAAACTATGTGTACGGATCAGTGAACAAAATTAATCGTGGCATATATATATAATTAGTATGAAAATCCAAATGTTCAATTAAAAAATTTGATCGGTACAATGAAATAGTATACATACATGTGTATGAATAAAGAGAAAATTTAATGTGTACATATACTTATATTTCAGACGAAGGTCATTTGTTATATGATTCAAGGAAAAAGATGAGAAATAGATCACAATAGAAATTATTGATGCTGTAACACTAATGTATTACAGTATAAGTAAAGATGAAAAGGACATTTTTTATAATTATTTGATAAATAATATTTAACTAACCAACAGATGGAAGATAACTGGTTGATTAAATTTTCAATGACTAATTTAATATTGAAGTGAAATTCGTTATGGTACTTTAATTTATTCGAATGATTAAACAGATATGTCACATAAAAATGTGTGCTGATAAATAGACAGTCATGAGTACACACACACACAACCACTATACATACATCTATCTACACAGATATATAAACAGAAACATATAAAGGTTGTTATATCACTCATAATGTTGTATTTTAGAAACCAAAAAAAATAGATACACATTAGTCATCCGCTATGAACTTTCACTTCAGTGAGTATTAATCATGTGTAATAAATTTAAAAATAGAATGTTATTGGTCAGTTAAGGGCATACATAACATGAAGTACAAATTTGAGAAATTAATGTGAAATAAGTGAATGATATATTTTGAGTTCAAAGAAATCTAGTCTGAATTAAATCGATTTACACCTGATGATAACCATCAAATGAGTATATTTAGATGTTTAAGAGTAACTGATTGCGAATTATTGTCAATCTTAAGATTTCACCAGTAGAGTGGTTAAATGACCTTAAAGTCAAAAACAAATTTAAAATGATATAACTAAGATAAATAGTTGATTATGAAAATAGTAGTTTTTACACATTGAAATCATGAATCGTTCACTGTTAGATCACGATTAGAAATCTGGAAGCACTGGACGACCGTTTCGTCCTGGCATAGGACTCATCAACAGTGCACACTCACAGGATTCAAACCCGGGACCTTCGGTATTGTGCGCGAACGCCTAACCATCGGACCACTGAACAGGCATCCAACGGTGTTAATGTCTAACTCTGATTGATCTAGGGATTTTGCGAGACTTCACTCATTTGTCTTTGGTAGTTACTGCCTACACCCGACAGGATTGAACTCCATTGGTCACGTCTTCCCAACTAGAACTCCGAGAATTTCATTACGAAGCTAGTTACTAGTGAGCACTCTAACTGAAAAATAGTAGAATCGATACTTAACGCTTCATTCATTATAACTGCCATCCGAGACATTCTGTACAATTCAGAATGATATAACTGAGATAAATAGATGATCATATAAATAGTAGTTTTTAAATATTGGAATCATGAGTCAGTCATTATTAGACCACCATTAGAAACCTGGAAGTACTGGACGGCCGTTTCGTACTGGTATGGGACTCATGCGCATCCACCACTCCTACATCTCGCAGGATTCGAACCCGGGACCTTCGGCCTTGAGCGCGAACATCTAACCTTCGGATCACTGAGCCGGCATCCAACGGTATAAATGTCTAACTCAGAGTGATCTAATGATTTTGCGCGACCTCACCCATTTGTCTTTGGTAGTTACTGCCTACACTCGACAGGGTTGAACACCACCGGTCATGGCTTCTCACTAGAACTCCGAGAACTTCCTCACGAAGCTAGTCACTAGTGAGCACTCTAAATGACAAATAGTACTATCGATTCTTAACGCTTAAATCATTGTAACTAGGTTCTGAGACATTCTGTACAACTTTGCACATAAAGAATGCAATTACTGGTTGATAAATTTAAAAATATCATACAAAAACATCTGATAATTGAATTCAGATATACACTAAATTATGTATACAACTTTAAGCTCCAGTACTTTATTAAATTGTTACATATTTAATATGATAAAAGTAGATGAAACAATATTGAAACTTGTAATCCAATACTTAAGTGCTTTTTGCTACAATCTGACAGATTACTTTGAACCATAGTGACTTTGAACATCATTATTACAGTTTTATATAAAAATTAGTAGGATTTCAGCATATTTAATCGATTTCATAAAACATAGGAGAAAGGTGAATTCCAATATTTTCAATATAGCACAATATTCTATTTACTCATTTTTTAAAAAAGAAAACCAGTGTAAATATTGCTTTACTCATTTTTAACTAAACTATCCTCTTCCTAACGTGAACACAAATACCCTTCTAGATATATACAACAAGACAGATGAACAGAAAGTTTTGTTACTCAAACTATTCTGTTTTTTTTTGAAAACCAACATTTCAGTCATTTTTAATCCATATGTCTTGATTATTCTCATTTCGACTATGTAAACTATAAAAAAAATAGTCAAAATAGCCAAACTAAATTGTCTTCCTTTACATCTTCATCTCTTCTTGTATTCTCCTCATTTATTTATTTAATGAATTATTGATTGATTGATTCTTTAAAATATTTATTATTATTATTATTATTATTATTATTATTATTATTATTATTATTATTATTATTAGTGGTAATAGTATTTTGTGGACATATGTGCAAATGAAACAATTGGCCTTAGTTTGTCTATGTAACCCTATGCAAATACACACACGTGCATACATACATACATACAAATAACTGAATTTTTGCCAACAAGAATTCAAGAAGATGAAGAAGATGAAAACACGTTTAGTGTAGTAGTAGTAGTAGTAGTAGTAGTAGTAGTAGTAAGTAGTACGACGATTTTTTTTGTTTTTTGAAGAATAGCTACATGTGTGGCCTAATTTTGACAAACAATATATATTCATGATAAATTAATGGGAGGGTGGTTTGATTTGATAGTTTTTTCCTTTTTTTCTCTTTTTTTTGGCGAAATAATTTTTGTACTTTAATAAGTTGTATCATCCACCCATTTTCTCTTTTTTCTAATATACACATTATTACTGATAGTTTTGAAACAGAAAAAAAAACTCCATCTGTTTGATATGAATCGTTACACAGTTTAGTATGCTTGTTTGAATGAAGAGAGAAAAAATATATATAAATATTCCCTGTTTCTCGTTCTCTTATATTCAACATTTTCTCTCTCTGTGTGTGGTGTATTTATCTACATTTATCAAAATAAATATTAATTTATTTTAATCAAGATCAATAAATAGAATGATTCTAGTATACTAGTATGGTAAAGAGAAAAAAACAATGATTGTAGGAGCCAAATTATGTGTAAACCACATGCTTATTATTTTTTCCGGATGATCTTCAGGAACCAGTAATATTAATTAATAATAATGATCAGATCTGTCTATGCATAGGTGATGTAACATGATTAGAAAGGTTAAAATATTTCTTTTTTTGACATTTTAAATTGAATAATGATAGATTTAAATGTACTTATAATCAATAATAAAAAAATAGATAAACCAGTCAACTGATCACGTTCAAATGATGTCATGAATCAATTTAAATATGTTCATCTTTACTAGTTTGTTTTAATGAAAAGAACCTTTGAGATAGGATTATCACTTCATTACATCTTAATGTTTATTTGTTTAAAATAACATCTGAGACTTAGATTTTCAATTTAATTGAAATGTTTATGGCATTGATACATTGAACAGGCTTCGAAGGGGTTAATCCAATGGCCTGTTTCCAATAGGATATAAGTTTGTAGACAAGTAACTATACTTAGCCAATTACATTCAACAACTCAAACACAACCGAAACATGATAGTGAATTACTATTCAATAGTAAATTCATGATGTAACGTTGTATTGTAAAACAAAACATTTTGAAAACTTTAAAAACCAAATGATAATTATACAGCAATATACTTACTTGATGTAAAATTAAATTTTTTGTACAATCATGTAAAAATAATGTAGGAATATGAAATAATTTTGTTACACTAGAATTCACACGTAATTCATCACGTGCTAATCGTACACACAAATCTAATACACGTATTGGTAATGGATTAGCTAATGCAATTGGTGTAGTAGTTGAACGATCCAAAAAGAAAATCGGTGAAAATAATACAGCTAAACTAGTTTCATCTACTTCACAGTCGGGTTCATTAGCAACAGTAGCCATTAATTCAAATAATGGTTGAATAATTTGTTGAGTTAAACGTATTGGACATAGAAGAAATAATAATCGTATGGCACGACGTTGATTTAATTCATTTTCTTTGACACCACTAATTAATTGAATAAATAAACGACGTAATGGATTCGGTATTAAACCAATGCCTTGTCTACGTAGAATACGAGCTAATAAACAAGCAACTACAGATGGATCATGTTGACAAAGAATTTTGTCAATATCATTCAATTCATCAATGAATTCATGATTTTCATAGGGTTGTATTGAAGAATTGGATTTTTGTAGGAACATTGATGAGTTGGTGGTTAAAAATGATGTTGATGTATGATTAGGATTTATACTGTTGGTAGATGATGATGAAGTCGATGATGATGATGATGATGAGAAACCACGTTGATGAAATAAATTTTTTTCTAAATCATTTACATTGGATTGATTACCAGGACGTCGAAATATAAATCGATGTTTATCTTAAATGAAAACAAAATGAAACGTATAATAAAAATTAATAATTATGTAAGATAGTAAGTGAGTGAGTGAGTGATTGACAAGGTGTGCATATATATTGAAATGTATATTGTTATTAAAAAGTAAGATTACTAATTGAACAGACTGAATATTATATTTTGGGGCAGAGTTTTGGAGGTTTGTGTTTTTACACATTTGAAATCATCAATCAGTTATTGTTAGACCACCAGGAGAAACCTGGAAGCACTGGACAGCCGTTTCGTCCTGGTATGGAACTCATCAGCAGTGCGCATCCACGACTCCTGCACTTCGCAGGATTCGAACCCGTGACCTTTGGTATTGTGCGCGAACACCTAAACTCTGGAACACTGGACAGGCATCCAACGGTGCTAATGTCTAACTCTGATTGATCTAGGGATTTTGCGCGATCTCACCCATTTGTCTTTGGTAGTTACTGCCTACCCTCGACAGGGTTGAACTCCACTTGTCATGGCTTCTCAATGGAACTCGGAGAATTTCCTCATGAAGCTAGTCACTGGTGAGCAGTGTTACGACATTTTGGGGCAGAGTTTTGGAGGTTTGTGTTTTTTACACATTTGAAATCAAGATTAATAAACGGATAGATTGAATATTATATGATAATATGTACTTACAATTTTTATTTCTAAGCATAAATCGTAGAATTGTATTGACTACTGTATACCAATGATCAATTTCATTCTCTTTAGAAGCTATAAAGTAAACAAACATTTACATGTTAACAATATAACAATTATTAAAAACAATAATTTTAAATTATTTTGCTTTCTGTAAATGACAATTATAATAAGATGAAAACAGTTAGAAAATCATTGATATTTTGTAATTGCGTGTTCATAAGCATATGCAACAGTCAAGCTGTAGTACAACATTCAACAACTAAATTGAAATTCAATGTTCTAGATATTTTAACTTAATTTAGACTCTGATATATTATGACATTCATTAGATTGGCTGGTCAAACAAGTGATATATTTCTAATGAATTCATCATGAAGTCATTCATCAGAGAATATGAATTTACTTGTGTTCAAGTTACACTGTAAGTGTAAGTTTTAGTGATATTATACGATCGCTCTGATTAAGTCTTAAGAAAACCTTATCAATTGAATAAGCTTTCTTTAATTACGCAGATAGCTATTTCAACAACAACTGTCAATTTAATTTAGGTAGGATTTTCTAGAACTTAACATTAAAACAAACAATCGTATGAATGAAATCCAATTTATAAAACAAATCAAAAAGCTTGTTTCATACAAACTAGACAGTTAAACTCATTCTACCAAGTATAGATTTATATCATCAAATTTGAATTACGTCCTGTCTGTGTCAAAGCCTAGTGATAATATTCAAACTAAGTTCACGATAACTTTTTAAACTATATTCACATAACGCGAATAAACTAACTTGCTAATTCAATCAAATTGAACATTGTACAAACTATAACTTACCATTTTGTTTTTGTTCACGTAATCGACTAAGCATTTTTCTTGGTGTATATTGTGTTTTACCACTGCTCTCGCTTGTGTTATTATTGACTTCGGATTTACTACTAGCTGTCATATCTGTCTTAACTGATGTTGTTGTTGTGGTGGTGGTGGAGGAGGCTGTTGATGATGTCATCGATGCAGTTGACATTGTCATTTGTGATTGTTTAGCATCTTTAATTAAAATTTCACGAATTTGATCTAATTCATCAGAAGTGAATATTAAAAAGCCTAAATAATTTGTTACTAATGCTAGAAATTTCGATGGAAAACGTCGACGAAATTCATACAGGTCTTGATTTGGTTCCGCTGTGAAAAGATCCAATTGTGTTGAATAGGAAAAATTCGGATTGAAGAGTAAAGAGGAAGATGGTGAATTATCGTTATTATTATTATTATTACTCAAATTACTATTATTGTTACAGTTATTATGATCATGTATTATTGATTCGTTCAATATATCGTTATGTTTTCTGCCGATGGACAAGGTGGTACGTGATGTTACCAATGGTGCAGCTGTAGGTACAACCTATACAACGCAAGGATAGACAAAGTGGAAAAAAAAGCAATGCGTAAGTAGAACACACACAGTTAATCACTACATTTGTTGACATTTCACGATTACAATTACCTAATCCACTTTTGAAAATGACTCATTGATTTTTAAAATACATGAAACCATCAGTAGTCATAAAACTCAACTAGTTTTTTTTATTTTTTGGAATTTTCTCTGATACTATGGGAACAATGACACTTTATAATTATTTATCAATGTTCTAAAACCAATCATTCACTATACATACATACTAGGTTGGTTGTTGTAAATTGACATTAACCGAAAGTACCATCCATCTAACCGACCCTCTCTCTATATATGCATTCAATTTTCAATTTCCTTATTTGCTACAGTATTTTAAAATCCAAAGAATTCTTTTTTTGTTTCAACTATAATTATGTGGGACAAGTGTATAGTTACACATAGACACCTATAAAAAATAAACAGATAACTAAAAACGATTACACACCTTTTGTGTTAAATGTAAGGGTGAAACAAACAATATAGAAATTGACATGAATAATAATATTTATTTATCATTTATAGTGAGTGAGTTAGAAACAACAGATTAAATACCTATAGACAATAGATATCCAAAATATATAAATATTTTTTTAAAAAAAAAAATAAAATGTTAGTTAATCATTATCATCTGTGTATACATGAGTCAATGTGTTGTATCTACATGAATCTGTGAACAGAAAAAATTTAAAAAATCAAATAGAACGTGTCTAATGCCAGTTAAAACAAAATTCAATGTGATCGATTGATTTATATACTGATAAAAAAAAATTATCAACATTTAACAGTTGTTAGTCAGTGTCAATTCCTTTTCACTTTCTTTCTTTCTGACCTAATTAATTGTTAAATATACACGAGGATAACGACAACAACTACAAACAAACAAACAATGACCTAGTTTTACTATTTTTTTCTGTAGATAAATATTACTAAAAATGATGAGTTATTTTTTTTGTATTGCCGTGTGAAATTTCTATCTGGTAAAACAAACTAGACAAAGAATAAGATAATGAATATCATCAGATGAGTATATATATTCGCTCATTAATAATTATTATTTCCATTTATCCTCTGTTAATATCGAAGTTTGTGAGAGTTTGTAAGAGCCTACGATACTACCACCTTGCTCAAACATGGAGCAGGGTTCGAACCTGGGATTTACTAGCTAAAAGTTAAATGTCTTTGCGAGGTCAGTTACACACTTACTATCATTAGGTGTTATTGCTGTCATATCGGTAGTACTAAATTCATGTTTTTAGATAGAAACTTCTCGAGTCATATGAATATCTAATGGAAAAAAAGGGTTGTTATACACATTTAAGCTTCATGAACCTGAACGCATTCTAAGAGCTGTAATCACTCAAATGATTAAAACACGAAGTGCTGATTGTCAAACTATCTTCTTTCCAAAAATTACCATATATTCGTGACCGTCAGTGCTTCACACACATACACACAGTATGAACATGTAAACAATGATCAAATGCTTTTTAGAATAAAACCTCTATGTGATAAAGAGAGCATTTGATCACCTCTCTTCAACATAACAGATTGAATCTCTAGTATTGTACAAATCAGTATGAAATTTTGAAACCAACTAACTACAAACATCAGAGAGAATCAGTGACTATCTTGACAATAATCTCAGTTATTTCTTAATATTTCTGATTTTTATGTGTATTAAATCCAAACGAAAATATCTATTGTTCACATTAAACAGATCCACAACATAATTTCTATGTCCATAATGAGTTCATTAAAATACCATCTGATCACTTACAGATCTGATTAGTTTCTATCACTATCATCATCATCATCATCATCATTGAACTTTGTGATTATTCGGTTCATTAATTATACAATCACACATCCATTTAATGAAATCCATTTAATAACAACAACAAGAAAAAAAATTCGTCCATTTACCAGATCACATCATGAACACAAACAAACAAACAAACATTTAACTAATCATCTATTTATCATCAATAATTCTAGTAGTATCTAAGACAGACATGTCTGTGAAAAAAACAAACAAACTAAATTAAACAAATAATATGAAATCACATATTTCAGTTTGTCTCTTTTTCAAAAAGACTAGTTTTACTGGCATTTGTTTAGTGTTATAACATGAACAGCCCTAAAGCGATGATATGTTGACATGTCTATTGACTACATGTAACTGTTTATTAAATCAATGAATAATAAATTAATCTTGTCAAAATCAACTGTAACTAAATTAATATTGATATAATGAAACATTGTACTTACTATCAAAAATAGATTTTAATTTTAATGAAATGACAATTTAATTGATAGTCATTTATAAAGTTGTCAATCAACTATGGCGTTACAAATGTTAAATAGTATCTAAGATATTAGACATATGGTTAGTAAACATGTTACAACATTTACGACAAATGATTGTCAAAAGTAATCAGCGCCTATTTTATTATGCTAATTTCTGCTGAATAAATTCTCCACATTGAATGGTTAACATTATTTTCAGTTTCATAAACTGGCGATTTTGTGTAGCATAACTCAATCATATAATGTAATATTCAGCTAAGTCCTATGGAGCAGCTAGATATTATAGTATAATACAATTTTATATGATCGAGTTCATTTTTTGAAACTTAAATGTTTAGCTAATTATTCACAAGTTAATTTTTTATTCAAAGCATTAAATTTGTAAAAAATAAACCAATACATAAAATAGATCATGAATAATTTAAACCGCTTCAACCAACATTTCTAATTAGACTAATATAGATAAAATTAAGTAACAATTATTGAATGATAAATATAGTGAGTTTTATACACAAATACACTGATATTCCATACAAATAATAATAGTGGATAATTACTAATTCTTAAATTTTACTGGAAAATGATATGACATTTACTAGTACACTATATAATAATTACAATAAATTGTCAATTACTTTTATTTACTAGTTGAAAGTTTAAATAAATAAATATATAAATAAATTTCATTACTTACCTTTAATTGTGATGAACAAGTGTTAAATTTCCAATTAAATTTATGATTAGATTTTAATGTTTTATTTATATCACCAAATGATCGACTCCGTCGAGCAATACGATTTCGACATGGTGTGAATACATTTAATAATTTAGCTAATTTTTGTCCTGATGAACTTCGACGTTGGGATTGTTGTTGTTGTTGTTGTTTGTTCGTATCATTAGGATTAACAGATAATTGAAATGATTCTACAGAAAATGTTGTAGAATCTGTATCATGTACACTATTAGTTGATAATTTTTCAATACTTGTAGCTCTACTTAAAAATCCTGAATCAGTATCATCTAATTTATCTTTATGATGTTTACTATGATTAAATGTGATTTGAGATTGTTGTTTTCGTTTGAATAATTTTGGCGATTGTTTAGACATAACTCCAATATGTGGACTATGCATGAAATCAGTATAAAGAGTCATTACAAATTGTAGTAATTTGTACGATGAACTACAACTCAAAATGCTCGACTTATATTTATTTTTTGCTAAGAAAATTGACCAATCATAATTAAGTCCGTTTTCATACGTTAATGAAAATCGACCAATCATAATTTTTGTATTGACCATTAATTATTAGACTATCATTTGGACGGATTAGTGAGACGACACGTGAATAAGATTTATGAGATTTTTACTGGCGGATAAAACGAAGTGTATTTTTGTACTGTTAACGAACCAGTTCATTATAGGTTCATTGTTTTTAGGAAAAAAATATTCGTGTACGTTATTTACGTCTACAATAATAGTTAAATTAGATAAAAAAAGAAAACTTGAAACATCCGAATAAACTAAACATGCTTAAATATTCATCATTTTTAGTTTCAATAATTAGTTGTCAGTTTAAACTAAACGATTAATCTAAATAATAATACATATTTGCTTATTAATTTGATTGAAAAACAATTCCATCGAAGTTGAAACGAAACTTAGGTTATCAAAAATTATTAATAAGCCTTTTCTGGTCTACTTACTTACTTACTTGCCAAAAAACGCTAACCAGAAAAAAAATTAAAAAAAATGGGACTCAACAGTAGTACGCATCGAGGACCTCCGCATGTTAGAGTCGAACCCACACGCGAACACTTAATCTGTTGATTACTCAGCCTAGAACTAGACTATAATCATATATAATTCATTAGATAATATTTTACGATTTTATTAGTTAGATTAATTTATCCAAAGTTTCAGATTCATTATTCTTGCAGGTAACTCGAGTAATGAGAACTGAATCAGAAACTATAATTAGGATTTATACTTCAAAGGTTTTATTTTGACTGTTTCAACCTAACTGCTGAATAACATCACTGTAATCAGGAAACAATTAGATTGGTTAGAATTTAGTGAAATGTTCATTTTTCTATGGGTAAAATGTGTAACAGTGTTAAATAGATCCTGAAAGAAGAATTATCTAATCAAGACTTAATATTTGATACGACTTTTGTTGTGAGACGAACTCATTAAAAAGCCAATCGATTTATCATATTGACAACTGACAGAATGTAGAATTGTTGACTCAATGGTTTGAAGATTGAATATGTGTTGTCAGAATTGAAGATTCTTTGGTAGGATCGTGAAAAACCCGAAAATGATAATTATTAGGCAACAAGAAGCACTGAGTATGATGCTTAAACAGATATTACTTCGTGACATAAATCCTATTGAATTTAGAGAGAATTTAATTTCAAACTGACCATAAGGTATTTGTCATAAACAGCTTTAACATGACTTATTTTGTAAATAAACGAACCATATCAATTTACGCTATCTTTCACAGAAAACGTACCAGCCATTATGTTAAACGTTGTGAAAGTCATACTTCACAATAAAAGAAATACTATTACATGTTTAGATATTTTTACAAGATATTTCATTTCATGGTTAATTTCCGAAGATTATCTCACAGCTTACTTTCAGATGTAGAATGTTCTCATAAGAATACAAACTGTGAATTCTATTATTATATGTTTATAAATACATGAAATTCACCTGTTTTTAGATAATGCTAAGCAATTTTGCCAGTAATATTAGGTAATATGAAGCACATAACAAACGAATATGCATTGATGCTAGTGATACTCTTTTGAGAAGGATTTTAGTTTATCTAACTGATCATCATTATTGATGTAAGTTATTTTTCGGGTTGACATTTCAGTTTAAAAAAGTATAAACGTCTGCGTAACATTTGTCCTAACTCCGACTGATACCCATCCTAAGTTTACTGCCGATGTCAAACAGAAGTAAAGATTAATTGAAAACAGAGCAAGAATCCTACCTCAGAAAAAAAAGCCTTTTCAAAGATCGCAAACCAGAAGAAGCATTTTAATCATTCAAACTCTGCACTGGTATTTGAAGTGTTTTCACATAGAAGTGTTATGATGCTTGATTATGGAAGGCGAAATTTTGTGAAAGATATCAGGACAAAACTTATTCTGACCATAAGGAAAGTAATAAACATAATGATATATAATGTCTGGACAATACGGGAGATCGGGAGGACCATTGAAATGACGGCCGAAATGAGATAATACAACTTCATGGTGCTTGAAATAAATGAAATCCATTAGAAGCACTGCGGACAGAAATGATTTACATCGGAATGATCCTAATTATCTCACGGTCATAAAGAAGAATACAGATCACATACAAGGAGTTCCACTGATGTTGTCTAAAGACGTACAAATACCATTTAATTGGATAAGAAATTCACGCCACTAGAATCATTGAGGCATCATTCAAGGCAAATAAATCCGGGACCGTGATAGATTCATCCAGTGTTATGCGCGAACGAATGACAATACTGAAGATGATAATCATATATTCTATGTGAAGTTGAAATCCATTGTTGAGAAGTATCTAGAAATAAACATGAACATCATTATCGAACACCTGAGTACAACCCAGCATGTACCAATCATATCATACTTGATAGCGAAATTCTAGAAGCAGTGGGAACCTTTATTGAGCTAGCGAGCATCATCGATTAACAAAGAGGATTCAAAAAAAGTGTCAAGATAACAACTGACAACCTAGGGTCAGTATTCTTCCAAATGAAGAATATCTGGAACCCAAACTAGCTGTCACACAACACAGAGTCAGGATTTTAAACACTTAAATGGAACAGTTCTATTGTTTGGGTTTGAAATGTGAAGACCTACCACTACAGTAGTCAAAAACGTACATGTAATTGTGACCAGCTATCTGCTCAAGACATTCTACACCCATCGACCAGAGATCAGTCACAACGGACTGTGAGAGAGAACAAACTAGTTTCTAGTTGTTGAGGAAATAAGTAGAAGAGATATTGGAAGTGGATGGGTCAGATTTAGTGGAAATCATCGGACTAGATTTCGAGGCAAGTGTTAACTTGGAATGGCGAGGGGAAGAAGGAAAAATGTAAACCGAAATAAATATGTAGTCGCGAATCGGATGTTAACATCGTTACAATGAATAGCACTTATCAACAAGTGTAGAGATGAATCCATGACAGTTTAGACTTCAAGAGAGGTGATAGGTTTAAGTGTTGTTGATCATGTTCATTAAAACGAAGTGAGATATTTTTTTTCGATATCAACAATAACCACCCATATTATTCGAATTAATTTTTAAAAAATCAAATAGATTAAGATGAATTTATCTACCATTCAATGGTTTGAAGAACTTACACCCACTGCTAGACTTAGTATTTAACTTTGTAATGATTTTTTCTGTTGTGTTTTGGGCTACCAGTGGTTCCGTAGACTAAATTTACTATTGATAATAGTCTTATTTTTCATTTCCATGAGATTCTATAAACATTAATATTAAATACTACCACAAAAGAAATCTGACACTTTTACACGATAACAAACAGACTTGATTTGATTTTTTCTTGGCTTTCCTATGCATACAAAAGTGCATATTACAGAGGGAGAGTGATGAAGAAACTGGATTTTAATTAAGATAATGGGGATCATTCTGTTTTTATTTTTACCAATGAGGTCTGTAAATCAATGTGAATGTTGTTCACATTTATGACGAACGCTATTAAATCCACAGGTGTACTTTTAAATCGGAATGCACCATAATCATTCACATTTTTCGGTTATTAAAAGTCATACGATTTTGAGAAGTCTTTATTATTAGTAATCTCTTAAAACCACTTAGTACAGCTCAAATGTTTTGTCCTTGTATTGGACTACTCAAGAGTACTCATCCAAAAATTTATATGCAATAGAAAATTCGATAGATTTGAAGGAAGTGAGTTTGATCCCTGGCAAAATAATTCATAACGACTGCTAAGAAGATTCATGTTTGGATGAAAAAGCTGTTTACTTTTCCCTAGTTCACAATAATCGTCTAGTTATTGTAAGATAATGATGTAAACTATAAAAATCCAATTCTCAACCAAGTTAAAATTTCACGTCCATCAAAATTTATCCTTATATTGAATTCATCATTGTTACACCACCACTAGAAACATGGGAGCACTAGGCGGTCGTTTCTTTCTGGTATGGGACTTATCGAGAGTGAGGATCTACGACTTATACTAGCTGAAGGATTCGAACCCAGGACATTCAGTCTTGAGAATCATATTTGTTTATCATTACGATGATCATTTATAACCCATTTGTTGAAAGCTTACATTATCATTAGCATAACAATTTGCATAATTACATACTGATTTGATAGAGGCAGATAATCGTTTATAATATGAAAGAGGATCAAATGGTTTACAAGAGTAACTGTCACTAATTAATTACATTCTGCAAACGTTTTCAATTGTTTTTAGTGGATTACCTCCTTGGACCTCACAGTGTTGGACTTAATCGGTTGCAATATCTCACTAGAACTTCAGAAATCCACCGCTAGTGAGCTCATGTTCTTTAAATATTATTTCTGTATATTGAATCATTTTTAAACTGACAAAAATCTCCCAATTATTATTGAAATAAGGAACATTAACACTTTAACTACGATCATCATCATTATTACTGACAAAGACGGCATCACTTACTTACTTATTTACGCCTATTACCCCCAATGGGGCATAAGCCACCGACAAGTATTCTGCAACCTACGCTGTCCTAGGCTGCTCTTTCCAGTTCTGTCCAGTTTTGTTTATTTTTCTCATGTCCGTCTCCATTTTGTGTATTGTGTTTCTTGGCCCTCTTCTTTTCCTTTGTCCTTGATATTTCCAAGAGAGGACTTGTCTTGCGACGCAGTTCGATGCATTTCTCAGTGTGTGACCTATCCACTTCCACCGCTTCTTTCTGATTTCCTCCTTTACTGGAATCTGGTTTGTCTTTTCCCACAGTAAGTTATTGCTGATGGAATCTAGCCAACGGATGTGGAGTATTTTGAGTAGACGACTGGTAATAAATACCTGTATCTTCTGGATGATAGCTTTTGTAGTTTTCCAAGTTTCCGCGCCATACAATAGAATATTTGTGTTGAAAACTGTGACTTTGGTGTTGGTTGATATTTGTTTTGAGTTGCAGATGTTGTTTAATTGTAGAAATGCAGTCCTTGCTTTTCCGATCTGCATCTTCTCATCTGCATCAGATCCACCGTGCTCGTCAATGATGCTG